TTCCTTCAACTCCTTTTCTTCTCAGTACCCCATCCCCAAGTCCCTCACATTGTCATCCCTGTGACCCAGGCTGGTCTTCCTGTGGGTTCTAGTCCCACAGCTCTTGCTGCTCACACCTCAGGTCTGGTCTGTGGCTTTTCCTGAAACAGAGTGAGCCCCCACTATCCCACATAGAAATCCTTTTATGTTTTGATTGGAAAATATTGGGGACCATTAAGCTCCAGAAATCACTCAGGGGAATAATCCCAGAGAGTGCGCATTCTGAGATTTTCATTATGTTGACCTGAGAGCCACTTTCTCAATCTTCTGCTTGACTTTACCCCATGGTAGAGAAAACGCTGTGCCTTTCATATCATGTGACAACATGTGAATGACCTTTCCCTGCTCAGAAAAGAGTAAAAACAAAAAAACCCTTAAGCGTGCATTTAAGTCCTTTCCCCAACCTGGGCCCTACCATGTCACAAATTGCGTGGTTGAAAATCTGTCTGAGATCAGGATGGCTTGTGGGCTTGTCAAGACCTACTCAAATTTCTCCTGAAAAACTGAGGTCACAATGTTGGGCATGATGTCCAAGTTAGCACCTTTTTCAACTTAAAATAATTTTCTTTTTATTTTCCCATCAATATTTATCCCCACATTCCCTCTCCCACCTGCACCAACCCCAGCCTCCATATTATGATATGTTGTCTGTGTCCATGAATTAAAATATATATACCTATTAAACATGTATATAGCTTATTCAGTAATATCCCTGATAATTCTAGCTCCCATCTGACACCATACATATTTATGATAATATTGTTGACTATTTTCCCTAAGCTGTACTTACATGCTAGTAATAAATGTTGAGGACAGATATGGGACAACCAGCACATTTTTACTGACTACGTGGAAGTTATGAGAGGAGCTAGGAAGGTGAGTGGAGAAGTGGTAAAGAGCACAGCAGGACAATCACAGAATGTCTCCCCATAAGTTACAAGTGAATGACAAACACCAAATGGTGACTGTATGACGGGCAGATGTGACTGTCACCAACCTAGGTGAGTCACCAAGGTGAACGTCCCCACTGTCGGGACAGGTGGGTGCAGTGTCCAGTCCTTGTTCTTCCTCTTTCACAGTCCTGGCTCCCTTGGTGGCCTCATCCATGCTCACGGCTTTAATGTCATTCTTGTAGCATCATCTCCAAGTGTATGTCTCCAGCCCAGACATTTCTCCTCAAGGTCCCCACACTCATCTGTCCAACCTGACACCTCACTGGTGTTTCTAACAGAAATCTCACCTTGACCTCCTCAGCTGAACTTTTGAAAAACCCACCCCTCTCCCACACATGCTGCTGACAGTCTTCCCCATCTCTGCTGATATAATCCCATCTTTCTGCTGGCACAGTACAAATGTTGTGTGCCCTCCTTGACTCCTTTTCCACACCCCAGACTGAATCCTTAGGAAATGCTGTGAAATCCATCTTCCAAATGCATTCAGTGTCCAGTCCCTTCCCACTGTGTCCACCACTCACAGCCCCGTCAGAACACCCAGTACCTGCAGCCTGAAACCATGGGAGCTTCCCCACACCTTTCCCTTTTGCCTCGCTGGTCCCTTGTGTCCTGATTCTGTTCTCAGTCCAGCAGCCAGACTGACCCCATGACCTGAGGGCGCTCACTTTAGGAGGATCTCTCAAAGGAAGCCACTAAGGAATTTGGCTCCTTGGCCTTGACCTTCCAGGACTCAGCATCTGCAGAATGAGAACAGTGTCTGCAGTGGATTAAGGACAGTGGATGCTGGAACAGTTCCTGCTTTAAGCAGCTATCCTCACCTTCTGACTGGTCAGCTCTCTGAACCCCACATGGACACCCCTGAGGTCTACAAGACAGAGCCCTGGAAGTTTGGGGTGACTCCTAGGCTACAAAGAGGCACTCCATTAGAATCAGGGGACTCAACCAGCCATGGCCAGAAGCTCCAAAAGGTATATTTGGATGTGCGGGAAGGAACCCCTAATTTCCCATGGAACTCAGATTGTCGCAGGGAACATCACTGGGGAGCTGTGTGGTCCCCTTGTCCTGTGGTACACAGTCTGTCCCTCCTGGGTTGTCTCCACACCTTGCTGTATATTTATGAACTTAAAGTGACTGGAAATGGCTTAATAAATGGGTGAAGGTTTGGTGAGCACTACAACATGTGTTCTGTGAGGTCGGCAATTTGGACTATGCTGAGTTCACTGACGTACAGGGGTGCAGCATGCTATTGCACTTCACCGATACTGCAGTTTTTAATTTAAAACTCACCTGAGGGTTGTTGTTACTGATTTTACAGAGAGAGGAAGGGAGAGAGAAAGAGAGAGAAAGATATATATATATATATATATATATATATATATATATATATATATATATATATATAGAGAGATAGATAGATATATATATATATATAGAGAGAGAGAGAGAGAGAGATAGAGATGTGAGAGAAGCATTGACCAGTTGCCTCATGTATCTGTCCCAAACAGAAATTGAACCTGCAAGCCAGGCACATGCCCTTAACAGAGATCGAACCCAGAACCTTTTGGTGTGTGGGTGACGCTCCAGCCGAGCCCCCTGGCCAGGCTGTGTTTGTTTTATAATTGAAAGTAAGATTTCCCAGCAGCAAAATGATTACAACTAATTAGAGGCTTGAATGATTGTGAGCATTTTTATTAACAAGAACATGTATTTTAATAAAGGCGTGTTCATTACCTTTTAGACATAACAGTATTGAACCCGTAATAGACTACAATACAGCATGAGCCTAACACTTATATTCATGAGGAAACAAAAAACATTTTGTGACTCACTTCAATGGGATATTTGCTTTATTGTGGTGGTTTGGACTTGAACCAGAAACATCTCCAAAGTATGTCTATATTCCAGATGTAAAAATGGTGTGTCATCTACATGGTACTCAAAAACTACTATTTGACTGACCCATCACTGTAGGACACCTCTCTGTTCTAGTGACAGTGTCTTTATTGATGTGGCCCCAGCCCCCAGCTGTGTTGTGGCAGCCACAGCACAACCTGCACTCACGCTGCCATTGATGCCCCCACACGTCCCCACAGTGCTGCTCCCCTAAACGTGCAGGGGCCTCTGCTCTGTGAATGCCCGAGTTTGCACTGGGGCCCCCACTACAGTGAAAGGCCGGGGGAGACGGCGGCCAAGCAGAGCAGAATCGCAGGAGGAACGTGTCTGAGATGAGACATTACAGGCCCCCTGCTCTCTGCTGATTCCAGAATCCGGTTCCCTGGAGGAGGCTGGGAAAAGGTGGGAGAACAATCACGCCCAGGGAGGTAAGAGCAGGATGAGTCTGAAACTTCCTCTCTCGACAGCACAGATTCCTGAGTGCAGGGGCCACCCTGGTCATGTGGGGACAATGACAGGCAAAATGCCTCCTGTTGCTGTCAGATGGGGACACCCAGAGGAGGATGAGATGAGAACTACTCTGCTACAGGAAAACACAGAATACTGCCCTCTGTAACAACATGGATGTGCCTGGAGAATATCACGATTAGTGACTTGGTCAGAAAAAGCTAAAACCCTACGATTTCTCTCATATGTGGGACATAAACCTGAAACTCAGGGACACAGACAGCAGTGTGGTGGTTCCCAGAGGGAAGGGGATTGGGGGAGGAGGAGCCCAGAGGGGCTCACATACCTGGTGAGGGAGGATGGTTTGTGTTGGGAACTGCCTTGCCTGGTATCAGAAACTGTAACCCCCACCAAGGCTAAGGCTGAGGGAGTAGCCTTTGATCATAAACCAGCAAGGAGACAAAAGCTTATCTCCCTGGCAGCAGCGCTGCTTCCACTGCTTCATTCATAACTGAACGCCAATTCTTGGTCAGTTAGCCAATGACGGGTAAGATTCCCCAAGGGGGAAATGACCTAAGACAGGCACGATCACGTGGGAGGCCCCCAAGAAAGGACTTTGGGGGCTACAGCAAAAGGGGTGATGGACCCTCGCTCCTCGGCTTTGACATAGCCTGAGTTCTCATCATCTGGGAGAAAATCTTATCGCTTGGTTACCTTAGTTCCTTTGGTCCACCTAAGCCTGAAACAATGACAGAGTGGTGCAGCCCTGTGCTGAAAAGGGCGGGTTCCCTGGGTGATCAGGCCTAAGTAGAACATGTAAATTCCTGTGAAACCTGCTTTGTTTAGAATGCTCTGAGTTGAAAGATAAGGGTCCAAGGAAGAAGTAAGTTCTTCGCTCTTTACAATTTTACAGCTCTTTGGCCCTGACTCAGAATAGGCCCTCAGACTTCCTTGTTATCTATTGTTTGATCCTTACTTCCTAGCAATGAGTAATGAGCTTTTACCTGAATTCTTATTCAAACGAAACCAATAAAAAGCCTCTCTGGAAGGGGAACGAGGTGCTCTCCCCACCAGAGAGAGGGTGGCCAAGGTGCTCCCCACATGAGGAGTGGCCCTTCTGTTCCTACTCCCCCACAGGACCTGGTTGTCTCTGTGTATGTTTTTAGCATATTTCGGCGAGCATCCGCAGCCAAGATGGATACTGCTGGCCGGTGTTGCATCCAGCAAACACGAGAACAAATGTCGGAGACTTTCAGGGAATCAAGGATGTTACTTTATTGGCCAAGTTTAACCTGCGCAGGGGCGAACTCTCAGAGTGTCCAGAGACACGGTACCCACAAGGGGCTGCAAACAAGAGACGTGCCGAGCGCTTACAACTACGTCCTTATATAGGGGCGGGCAAGCAAGCGTTATACAGAATCAGATGTGGCAGTTAGCAATTCGCTTACAAACATCGTGTGCGGGAATTTCAAACCAAGCATCCTTGTACAAGGTGGGAAGGCAGGATGTGTGTTCAGTAACCTAGTAATCTCCTGGCTCTAGCTAGCTAGGTTCCTATTTTCTCATGGTCTAAGTTTTTCCCTACTCCTTACATTCCCCCGTTTTCTCTTGGGGGGTTTGGTCAAACCCTTGACTCTTCATCATTAGGAATAATGGTATAGTGTTGAGATAAAACCATTAGCTTTACTACTTCTATTCTTTCTTTAATAAAGGCTATGACTTTATTTAGAATACAGGGCCCTATAGTAACTAATAACAGAAGCAAAAGAAGGGGTCCTGTGATTGCAGATAAAAGGGTGGTCAGCCATGGGGAGGTTTTAAATATAGAGGCATACCAGTTGGATGTTTCTTCTTCGCTGTCTCTATCTTTGAGTCTGGTAAGCTTAATATGTGAATCACTTCCTCCTCCAGGGGTCCATTCTAATGGGCTTACTTTTGTTTCACAACCCCAGCTTTTACAGTAAAAGTCACCTTCATATCCACACCCTCGTGCCCATTTCCTATCTGGAGTGGGAAACCCATATGCTGTTGTTCAACTTAGTTGTTTGTGCAGGAATTCTTCTTCATCTTCCACTAATGGCCTTAATGGCGCTCCTCCACCCACAATTCCGGAAGAGGTATACAGATTACTGCTTCCCAATCTGTCAGAGAGTGATGAGTCCCACAGACTGTCTCCAAAAAGTTTAGACAGATCAACAATCAGGTTAAGTGTCTCTTCCCCTCCCCAAGTATAATTCTCAGCAAGCGCAGTCCCATCTGCCATTCTAATTAAGACCCATTCCTGTCTCTCTAACCCTGAGCAGGCCAGACACCAGGATACTACCAGCCCTAGACAGAGGAGAAGGTGAGTTTCAAGGGTTCTCCTGGCTTTTGCTTGACTTGCCATTTTTGCTGGCTATCCCTGGGCAGTTGGGCTGGCTTAGTGTGGGAGAGGTGGGTCCAGTAGGGCTTCTCAGCCACCTGAATGGCGGAGGGGGTACTTAGCAGTACTTGAAAGTGTCCAGTCCACCAAGGCTCTAGGTTGCCCCTCCTATGGTTCAGGATCCACACCCATTGTCCAGGTTCTGGTGCTTCCGGTAGTTTGGCACCTTCAGCCTTCTCCGCCTGGATCGCCTGTCAGAGGGTCCGCACCTCACGTCGAATATGCTGCAGTGCCTGTAAGGACTTTAAGAAGTTATGATTAGACATTTCCAGTTCTTCAGTGGTCAGTTGGGGTACAAGTGGTACCCGGCTGCCCAAACATGATTTCATATGGTGACCATTTCTTCAGGTAAGGGGTACACTGTGTCCTAAAAAGGGCAAAAGGGAGTAGCTCGACCCAGTTTTCTCTGGTCTCCTCTCTTAACTTAATTATGGTTTCTTTAAGAGTCCTATTCATTCTTTCTACTTGTCCTGAGCTTTGTGGTCTATATATACAATGTAGCTTCCACTTAATACCTAATTCCGTGTCTAACTCTTGTGATATGGCAGATATAAAAGCCGGCCCATTGTCTGAGCCTAGGGCAAGGGGTATGCCATACCTGGGTATAATCTCCCGTAGTAGAATCTTGCACTGCACGGATGCTGTTTCTCCTCGAGTGGGGAAAGCTTCTACCCACCCGGAGAAGGTATCTATTAAGACTAATAGATACCTATTAATAGATACCTATAGCTATACTTTCCAGGGGTCATTTCAGTAAAGTCTATTTCCCATAGTTCCCCTGGTGTACTTCCTCTATACCTGACCAAGGGAGGCAGTTTCTTACTTGGTGGGTTCACTCTAGCACACATGCTACATCTGGAGACAACTGACTGGATGGCACTTTTCATTCCTGGGCTGTAATAGTACCGGCATATTAGCTGCTCTACCTTAGTCTGTCCTAGATGCGTGCTGGTATGAATGTCCTTAATAATTTGCCTTAGAAGTCCTTGGGGCAGGTAGAGCCTTGAGTCTGGTAACTCTATCCATCCTTGCTGATTCCGTGTTGCCCCTAGTCTCTTTCCATCTTGCTCTTCTTCAGGTGTATAGTTGGGGTGAGGGGGTAGCGTAGGCTGAGGCAGGAGAGGGAGCACAGTCTCTGGGGGACCAGATGCGGCCTCCCTCGCAGCTGAGTCTGCCAGCCGATTTCCCTTTACAACTGGTGAATCTCCTTTCTGATGTCCCTTGCAATGGATAATAGCAACCTTAGTAGGTAACCATATAGCATCTAATAGAGCGAGGATTTCATCCTTATTCTTAATGTCTTTTCCCCCTGCAGTTAAGAGGCCTCGTTCCTCGTATATGGCTCCATGTATGTGGGCAGTGGCAAAGGCATATCAGTAAAAGACTATCAGTATAAATGTTGGCAGTTTTTCCCTCCACCATTTGCAAGGCTTTTGTTAGCCCAATTAGCTCAGCCCGCTGTGCAGAGGTTCCTGCAGGCAAAGCCTTCTGCCATAATATTTCGTCTTCAGTGGTTACTGCTGCCCCTGCATGTCTCAACCCGTTTGTGATAAAACTGCTACCATCCGTGAACAAAGTCAGATCAAATTTTTCATATGCCTGGTCCTTCAAATCTGGGCGAGAGCCAGTCACTGTGTCCAGAATTTGTTTGCAATCATGGACTATAGTGGAGCCTGGCACCGGCAGAAGAGTAGCTGGGTTGAGGGCCGTGGTTTTCAGGAAACAAACAGATGATGGGTTAAGCAGCTGTGCCTGGTATTGTGTTAGCCAGGTGTTGGATATCCACCGATCAGGAGGTGCCCTGAGGACCTGTTCAACATAATGTTCACTGATCACCTGTATGTCTTGGCCCAAAGTCAATTTGCTTGCCTCTTTGACTAGGATTGACATGGTAGCAAGTGCCCTCAGGCAGGTGGGCCACCCAGAGGCTACTGGGTCTAACTTCTTGGACAGGTAGGCCACCGGTCTCTTCCACAGCCCAAGTTTCTGGCTAAGTACTCCTAGCACAATCCCTCCTTTCTTGGCTACAAAGAACCAGAAGGGCTTGGCTGGGTCAGGCAAAGGCAAGGCTGGGGCAGCCACTAATGCTTCCTTGAATGCTTGGAATGCCTGCCTTTCCTTGTCAGTCCATGTGAATGATTCTTCCTTTCCCCGGGTTAATTCGTATAAGGGTCTGGCCAATTCTGTGAAACCCAGGATCCAGAGTCTGCAGTATCCTACCGCTCCTAAGAATTCACGCACCTGTCATTTGGTGGTGGGCTCTGGGATTTGCAGGACTGTCTGAATCCGCCGGCTGGACAAGGTCCTCTGGCCCCCCTGCAAGTTATACCCCAAGTAACTTACAGTTTGCGTCACAATTTGGGCCTTCTTGGCAGAGACTCTATACCCCATCTGTTCGAGGTCCCGCAGTAAGTCCATGGTGGCCATTTCACATTCTTCCTTGCTTTTCGAGGCTATGAGGATGTCATCAACATACTGCAATACCACCACTGATGGGGGTGACGACTGAAAAGCCTGTAAGTCTGTGCTTAGGGCCTCATTAAAAATGGTGGAGGAGTTCTTAAACCCTTGTGGCAGCCGAGTCCAGGTGAATTGGCCCACTAGCCCATTCTCGGGATCATTCCATTCAAAGGCAAAGATGTCTTGGCTCTGGGGTGCCAGCGGGATACAGAAAAATGCATCCTTCAAGTCTAGGACTGAATAATAGGTGTGTGTTGGTGGCAACGAGCTTAGCAGGGTATACGGGTTGGGTACCATGGGGTGGATTGTCTCTATCCTCGCATTCACCTCTCATAAGTCCTGCACAGGGTGGTAGTCAAGTGTCCCGGCTTCTGGACTGGGAGTAGAGGGGTCTTCCAGGCTGACTGGCACTGTCGGAGTATCCCTGCTTCGAGTAGGCATTGCAAGTGCCGCGCAATCCCCTGCTGGGCTTGTGCTGGGACTGGATACTGCCGAATTCTGACCGGGCTGGCAGTGCTCAACAATTGCACCAGGACGGGGGTTGGTGAGCCACCAATCCAGGTGGATTGGTCTCTGCCCATACACCAGGTACCTTTGCCAGGAGATCGTTCCGGACCCCAGTTGTCTCTTCCTTACCTCCTTGGATGGTGGCCAGTAGATATTCCTCAGACAGCGGAACAGTTATGTCTAGGTTGACTCCAGCTTCCCGGCTTTCTGAGGGACCGTCTACTCGCCTGAAGGTAACGGTAGCCCAAAGCTTCTGCAATAGATCTCTCCCAAGCAATGGGTAGGGGCAATCTGGAATAACTAGAAAAGAGTGAGTAAATTGTTCCTTTTCCCAGGTTAGTTATTCTTGCAGTGGCCCATGGATATGCTTCTGCCTTGCCCGTAGCCCCTACTATTTTGGTAGTTGCCTTTTGTATCTGTCCTTGAGGTTGCTTTAAGACTGAGTAGGTGGCTCCCATGTCGACCAGGAAGTCTATAGGCTTACCTTCGACCGTCAAGGTGACCATGGGCTCCTGGGAGCCAATTGGAATGGAGCCCTGGCCCCATCAGTCCAGGGTTTGGAGCAGCACCTCAGGGCCCTTTTGCGGCTCTGATCCTTCTGCCAATAACTTGGGGCAGTTCCATTTCCAATGTCCTTTTTCCTTGCAGTACACACACTGGTCTTTATCTACTCACCACTTCTGGCTTCTCTGTGGGCCCCCTCCTTTCCCTTTGCCCTTAGTTGGGGGTTGCTGTGCTGCCAGCAGGATTTTGGTGACTTCTTTTGTTCTACCGACTTCTGGGTTGTCTCTATTCACATAAACCTTTTGAGCTATTTCTAGCAATTTACTTCTATTTTCTCCTTCAAAACCTTCCATTTTCTGTAGTTTCTTTCTAATGTCTGAGGCAGCCTGTGTTACAAAAGCTATGTTTATTAGTCTTCGATTTTCTTCTGCCTCAGGGTCTAGGGGAGTATATACTCTATATGCCTCCATGAGTACCTCTAAGAATGTGGCGGGGGATTCTTCTCTGCCCTGAATAACCTCGCTAACTTTGCTAAAATTGGTAGGTTTCCTTGCTGCTGCCTTGAGTCCCCTGAGTAGAGCCCAGCAATACTGGAGGAGCGCGTCCCTTCCCCCAGTAGTATTAGGGTCCCAAGCAGGGGGTTGAGAGGGGAGAATGTCCTCGATCTCCCTTCTACCAGCTCTTGTCTCTCTCTCCTCTCCAAGTACAGATTTTGCAGCCTCTCTTATGATACGGTCTCTTTCCTCTGATGTAAAGAGAGTCTGCAGAATCTGCTGACAATCATCCCAGGTCGGCTGGTGAGTCCTGAAAATAGTTTCTAGGAGGGAAATCAATCCCTGGGGTTTCTCAGAAAATGGGGGATTCTGGTGCTTCCAATTATACAAATCACTAGTGGAAAAGGGAACATAGATTAACCATGGGGGTGCTCGAGGCGGGGCATCAGGTGCCAGGGGCGCCTCCTGGAGAGGCAAGATGGCGGCGCCTCCTGCACCCGCTCCATAGCGGGTTCCCCCTCGCATATGTGGTGGGCTGGAAAATCTGCCTATATCCTGCAAGGAAGAATCAGGCTCCTCCTTCCGGGGATAAGGCAGGGGTGCATTCACAGGGTCTAAATGGTTCTCTGGCGGTCCTGGTAAGATGGGGTACAGCCTCGACTGCCCCAGGGGCCTGCCTGATGCAGTGACCGGGGTCTCAGTTCCCCTCCCCTTTGCCTTATTTCCCATTGATGCTAGGCACACTGCCCGCCTCCCTCCCTGATTTCCACCCTGCACTTCTTGATGTACCGGGGCCGCTCAGTGGCAATGTTGACCCAGGCATCTATATAGAGGAACTGATCTGGATGGGGAACCCTGTATACTGTGGCTCGAACAGCAAAGAGGGTGGGAAAGTCAAAGGTCCCCTCCGAGGGCCATCCAACATCAAAAGTGGGCCATTCGAGCTGGCTTAATGTTCTTAAAAATTCCGGATCCGGTGGGGGTCCTCCATACCCTCGTGCCCACTGCTGGAAATTGGAGAAATTCTTAAGGAGGCAGTCGAGTGGGGATCCTGGCACCGACTCCTGCTGGCCCATTCTAATAATGTCTGGGATGAAGGAGAAGAAACAAACAACACAAACCAACAAGGCGACAGACAATGCAATATCTCTCACATACGAACTAAGCATATAATCCAAAACTAATCACAGCACAGTGCGGCACAGGGAAAGAGGAAATCTAACGTGACTGGTCACTCCTAAGATTACTGAAACCAAATTTCAAAGAGCGGCGTCCCGCCTTTGAAAATCCCTGGGTAGGTTACCGGTGGCGTCCCACCTACTACCTCAGGGTAAGATTGCTCTGGAGCCCAGAAACCAAAAGAGGATCCTCAGCAAATACTTACTCAGCTCGAGCTGCCCCTCCGGTCTCCGAACCAAAACTCCACCGAGGGAGATCTCGCTGGGGCCTCCAAATGTTGCATCCAGCAAACACGAGAACAAATGTTGGAGACTTTCAGGGAATCAAGGATGTTACTTTATTGGCCAAGTTTAACCTGCACAGGGGTGAACTCTCAGAGTGTCCAGAGACACAGTACCCACAAGGGGCTGCAAACAAGAGACGCACGGAGCGCTTACAACTACGTCCTTATATAGGGGCGGGCAAGCAAGCGTTATACAGAATCAGATGTGGCAGTTAGCAATTTGCTTACAAACACTGTGTGCGGGAATTTCAAACCAAGCATTCTTGTACAAGGCGGGAAGGCAGGATGTGTGTTCAGTAACCTAGTAATCTCCTGGCTCTAGCTAGCTAGGTTCCTATTTTCTCATGGTCCATGTTTTTCCCTACTCCTTACAGCTGGTATCCTCCACAGCTTGCCTTGGGGGGTGGGCACACAGTGCAATGTACAGATCCTGTATCGTAGAAATGTGTACCTGAAACCTATACCATCCTATGAACAAGTGCACCCCAATACATTTAATAAAAAGACACACCCCTATCATTTAATATAAATACTGTAATAACTTACTTTTAAATAGTCAGAAAAGGTACAATATCTGCAAAAATAAACAAAGCACAAGTACCCAAAAGATAGGGGCTGCAGGACAGACCCAGGCCTGAGCCCAGGCTGACGTGGCCTCAGGAAGCCCTCACTGAGCACAGCCCTGGAGCCACCACAAGGAGATGGGTGATCCTCAAGTCCCTGGGATCCCAGATCCTGGTGGGACAAGGTTCTCCTGAAGTGGCAAGGACAAAAGAGGAACATAGATGACCTAGACGAGGAATGAGCAAGATGAAGATGGTCTCACCCCAACTCTACTAGGACAGGACTGTCCGCAGGAGAGAGGACACAGGTCGCTGTAGGGAGAGGGGCCTGGTGACCACCTCCTGAAATGATGCTGATAAAAACATAGACACATTCCAATGCCAGTTGCAGAAACAGCAGTCAGGGATCCTCAAAGTCCCAAGGGGAGGCTGTAGTGACTGTTTTAGCACCGAGTCCAAGGAACAAAGCTCTGTCACACTGGGAAAGAGAGTTGTCATGAACAAACTCAGGCCAGTCTCAGAAGTGTCACTTTCTCCTACAGCCTACTCTGAAAATCCCCAAAACCCAGTGGTGCCCCTCGATCCCAATGACCACCACTTCATGCCCTCAGGGTCTCACCATTAGGAGCTGTAAGAAACATTTGAGAGCTCTGGGCACTGTTGCTGCCTGGGGAAGACACAACAGCAGAGTTATGGGGTGGGGGAGCCCCCCTCACAGCCTCTAGCCCACACTCTCCCAAGGGTCCCAGACATCACCTCCCAACACCCAGACTTATAGGCAGTCTTAGTGTAGCTCTCCCTGCCTCTGCCTGTGGGAAGAAAATGTTCTGTGAGAAGTCAGGGGGAAAGCTGGGTCCTGTGACCTTAAAGGAACCCCACACTCCTGAAGCACAGGGAAGGTTCCAGAACTGTGACTGAACACCCAGGGTAGGACCAGGAAATACAGAGAAAGTATGTGTGCAGGGACTGGACCAAACTGCCCAGTGGATGTCTGTCCTCAGCAGGGACCATCCCTCTGACTGTGAGAGCCGGGAATCAGTCCCCATCACTAGAATTATCAGGTGATAAATGTGTCCCAGACTTTCCCACAGGCCTCACTAAAGAGTCAGTGTTAGCAAATAGGCCCCAGAAGGACAAGCACCCGTGTGGGGACATGATGTCCATTAATGAGGCAGAGCACACTTCCACCTGGGCTTGACCCCCAGGGGGACAGGAAACTCAGCCCCTCCCCTTGCCCACCTGTGCTCTTCCTCCTCCACAGCACAGCTCCAGTGACCACAGCTCCAAGGAGACCCAGGGCAGCAGCAATGACCCATGATGGTGATGGTGGTCTGAGGAGGGGGGTCTGCGAGGGGAAAGGTGAGAGGTCAACCTCAGGCCTGAGTCCTGACCCTGCTCAGGGACACCCTGAGGAGAGGCTCTGTGCCCACACCCCCCTCCTCACCCCCATCTCAGAGTCAGGGGCTCAGGCAGCCCCTGGTGCTGCACATGGCACGTGTATCTCTGCTCCTCTCCAGGGGGCACAGTCAGAGCTGCCCACTTCTGGAAGGTCCCGTCCCCTGCAGGCCTGGTGTCCACCAGGTCCGTGTCCTGGGTCAGGTCCTCCCCATCACGCTGCCAGGTCAGGGTGATGTCCACAGGGTAGAAGCCCAGGGCCCAGCACTTCAGGGTGACCTCATGGTCAGAGATGGGGTGGTGGATGAGGAGTGTCTTTGGAGGGTCTGAGGGGTGGGTGAGAAAATTCAGGAACTCTGCATGATCATGGCACACTCCAGCAGTGCTCATGTGACCATCCTGAGAGTGGACAGGACAGTGGGGTGGGGGAAGAGAGAATACCACTGAGACACAGGCCTGGCAGAGGCATCTAGGATAATCTCCTATTTCCTTGAATGGCGTAGACTCAGATCCATAACCTAGAGTAGGAGTGTCCAGGTATTTAAGGGAGACACAGACTCAGGTGGAGGCTGAATGACTCAGAAAACCCTGAGTGAGGTCTCCAGAGAAGGTCTCAGCCTGAGAACCAGGGAGAGCGTCCTGGTGCACCAGGTGCTGCAGGGTGTGAGGGAACCACTGTGGGGTGTTTCAGGGAGAGGCTGGGTCCCTTATTGTCCTTTAGAGAAAGCTGGGCCCGTGGGGCAGTCACAGAATAAGGAAACCTGGACTCTCGTCTTCGGAGACTGAGGGACATTCTGTCACTGCCTCATTCCCCTCCTCTCCTTGTAGGAAGACGCCCCAGCCCACAGGTCACCTCCTCTGCAAGGCCCGCGCCCTGGCACCTGCTCTTTGCAGCATCTCCTTCCCCTTCTGCAGGAGCAGCTGGAGGCGGCACACACATGTAACCTTCAGGAACAACCTCCTAATGTCTGTCTCGGGGACCTGCACCAAGCTGCTCACGGCGACTGGGTCCACTTTGGCGGCCGGCCGTTGTCCAGGAGCGCAGGTCCTGGTTCAGGGCGACGTAGTCGGCACCGTCGTAGGCGAACTGACTGAATCCGCGGAGGAAGCGCCCGCCGGACCCCAGGTCGCAGCCGGTCATTTCCTGCAGGGTGTGAGACCCTGACCCCGCCAGCCCCTGTGGTCATCACCGCACCACTGAGCCCCACCATTTCCACGGCGCAGCCCGGGGGTGTTGCACAGATGCGGAGACCCGGGGCGACCCTCGCCCGTCCGTGGGGATGGGGCTTGTACCCGGACCCAGCGCGCCCGCTCACCGTCCTCGCTCTGGTTGTAGTGGGTCCGCAGGTTGTTCAGGGTCGCTGTGTTCATCCGCTGATGTTCCTTGATTTCCACCCTCTGGTCCTTCCAAAAATCTGGGTGCTCCTGCTCCACCCACGCTTGCGCCAGCCATGGTACCCGCGGCTCCAACTTCGGGTTCGCGGCGTCGCTGTCGAACCGCAAAATCTCCGTGTTGTCCGCGTAGCCCACGACGATGTACCGGTTCTTCCCGTGGCCTGGTTCGTACACGGCGTACCACCCCCCTACCCTGTGCAGGGCCAGTGGCGGGGGCGGTGGGAGGGGAGATGGAAAAAGGGGGCGGTGATTGAGAGCTGGGGTGCGGGAAGGCGGTGGGGCGGAGTCGGGGTGGGTCAGGGTTGGGGTCTGGGCGGAGGGTGCTGGGCTATTGCCGTCCCCGGTCCTGCGACCCCGCTGGGCCCCCTCGCTTCTGCCCCGCAGAGGCCGTTCCCTCCCGATCCCGCAGTTACCCGCCCAGGTCTCGGTCAGGGTCAGGGTTCCGGAGAGCAACAGGACGATTATCCGTGCCATCACCCGAAAGAGAGCTTGACAAAATAATGAGTTCCGATTCGGTGAGGCTTTATATAGGGCACCCCATGTGACGCTGATTGGCTGCTCGTTCACCCAATGGCACACGGGGCAGAGTCAGGAGTTTCTTATCCGAGAACTTTGACTGGTCCTCCGACACAGAGAACTTCCCGCCTCATTCCTGTATGACGGCCAGATCTGCTCCTCTTTGGACGTGAGGGGTTCAGGAATCACATTTAACTATTTATGTTCCTCATTCCGCTGACTCTTTATTGTCCTCTCATCACACTTAACACGTCTCTGACTATTGTTTGGCTTCTCAGGAAGTGTCCTGCTCTCTGCTTCTGATGTCACTTTAACTTGGTGTCATCACCTTAACGCTGCAGCTGTTACCCCCTTTACACCATGGAGACAGTTGTGTTGTGCTGACTGACCACCTACTGCTTCCTAGGAGTGATTTACAGGAAACTCCTATTGATGGTGCGCCTTTAACTTGGTTACAGAGGGATCTTATCTGAAGGATGAACAGGGACATTACTGAGAGGGAAATACAGTAACTTCCATGGTAGACACAATAGAGAGCTCTCATCGCCTGGAAGTAAAATCTGCCCAGCACGCTGAACTCACTGCTCTAACTCGGGCTTGTCACCTGGACGAAGGTCCAGTAGCCCATGTTTACCCTGAGAGTCCTGTGCACCTGGTGCAGCCGTGAGTGTGGGATGACAGGGAAGAGGGGAGGCCTCTATTTCCTCAGGGCAGCCCACAAAGAAATGCAAAACTGGTTCCAGATTTATTAGATGCCAAACAGGACCCCAAACAATGGGCCACTATCAAAATTCTGGGGCATTCTAAAGCTGCCACCATGGAAGGGAAGGGAAAGGAAGTCATTTTGCTGACACTGAAGCTAAGGAGGCAGCATTGAACAGACACATTATCCAGACCCAAGAATGTTCTATTAAATTAATAGAAGATTATCTTTTAGTTTTAACAGACAGCTATGGAGGAACAAAAGAGACTCAGCAGCCACAGTCTTGTGGCTGCATGTCTGTGAAACAAGAGAAAGATCAGTTGGTCCCCATTTCAAAAACTGTTGTTATTACTGTTGGCAGAGGGACCATCCTCAACACCACTGGGCACATATGTCTGTAAATACCCCAGCCTCACTGCATCCTGGATGCTTGTGGGAGGCCCTATGGAATAGTCAACCTATAGCTCATTTGGGGGTTACCATGGCCCATTTAACTGTGGGTGGGAAGCTCAACAGTTGTGGGTGCATTCAGTGCACCCCAGCTTCTCCCTGGCCATGGCTACCCAATGGCAACAATATTCCTGGTGGATCCAACCCCACTGGCCCTCTAAAAGAAATAAAAGGGTGGTATTTGGAGGGTTAATAGCACTTCATCCATTCAATCAAAAACTTCACAGAGAGTCAACTGTGAAAAAAGAAAAAGAAAAAGAAATAACAACAACAAAACCCCACTTCAACCCTGGCCCTGTGGCTCAGTTCACTGGAGCATCCTCCCTACATTAAAGATTGTGGGTCAGAGTCCCAGTCAGGGCACCTCTAGATTGTGGGTGTGGTCCTCCATCCAGGCACTGACGAGAGGCAACTGGTGAAATGTCCCTCCCTCCCTCCCTTCCTTTCTTCCTCCCTCCCTCCCTCCCTCCCTCCCTCCCTCCCTCCCTCCCTTCCTTCCTTCCTTCCTTCCTTCCTTCCTTCCTTCCTTCCTTCCTCTCTCTCCCTCCCTTCCCCTCTCTCTAGAATTAGTAAACATATCCTAAGGTGAAAATTTTTAAAGAAATCTTCACATGTGGAAAGTAGCACCTCATTGGAACGACCCTTATTTTATGTGTAGCACACCAGCAAATGCGAGAGATATGAAAAAATAAAGACACAAAATAATGTAGAAAGCACATCTCCATTTCCTAGTATTGCCTTTATCAAGGGGATAAAATCTGCATAATTTTTTGGGACAGGTATTGTCCACATTCACATCAAAATGAAATTTCTGGAAACACTTCAATGTTCCTAAAGACAGGAGATTCTCTTCAACAGCTGCCCTGGTCAGTGGGGAAACATATTTCTTTTATAATTTTATGGATCTTTATCAAGGTGATCGTATTCTGGATTGACCTGAAGATCTTCCAGTGAAGCACCAGTTTCAAACTGAGCTTCCAAGATCGTTGTGGATTTTATCTAAGAAATGGAACTGAGTAAATAATTATTGAGTAAAGCAATTAAAGTTACTGTTGAAGCTGACGTTGTATTCACCATCTCAACTGTGGTTTCCACACCACAAGAACATCTCCAGGAATTCCAGGTCCCTGAGGACCAGCAGGGAGGGGCTGATGCTGGGGAAATGAAACCAAAACCTTGTCTGGCTGCAACAACCACCGATGAGAGTCTAAAAGGACAGTGATGTCAGTGTAAAAATGGAATTGAGCAGGTAGGAGGTGGCACAGGTGACCACCAGCATCAGCAAGGTGTGGGTGGCTCTGGTCACTGGAGGGCATTGGTAGCAGCCGCAGGGATGTGAATGTGCTGCAGCCTCTGTGGTGTCTGTGCAGGAGAAGCACCATGGAGACCCTGGGCCAGACCCTGAGGACAATTGGTGTGACATCAGGACATGACCACAGGATGGTGCCCTCAGCCACATCTAGAGACTGGGGACAGAGATGGGCATCACTGAGATGCCCTCAGGAGCAGCAGGCAGGAGGCAGAGGAAGTGTCCCTTGTTCCCTGGGTGGAGCTGACTTAGAGTCACATTGTCACAGGGGTGCAGGGACATCTGCACCAGGAGCTCCAGTCTCGGTGTTTCCTGCTGGGCCCTTTCTTTCAGCTCCTTCTCTTCTCAGAACCCCATCCCCAAGTCCCTCACACTGTCATCCCTGTGACCCGGGGCTGGTCTCCCTGTGGGTTCTGGTCCCACATGTCTCACAGTTCACGGCCTCAGCTCTGTTCTGTGGCTTCTCCTGAAATAAAATGAGCCCCCAATATCCCACATAGAAATCTTTCTGTGTTTAAAGTGGACATTGTTGGGTTCTCTTATTTGCTCCAGAAATCAATCAGGGGAATAATTGCAGAGAGGGAGCATTTGGAGATTTTCATGATGTTGAACTTAGAGCCACTTTGTCATCTTTTGCCTGACTTTCCCCCACGGTAGAGAAAACACTGCACCTTTCATATCATATGACAACATATGAACCACCTTTCCTTCCCCAGAAACACAAGACATTTAAATGTGGATTTAAGTCCCTTCCCCAGCCTGGGCCCTAGCTCATCAATGACTTGTGTGGATCCAAATCTGTCTGAGACCAGGATTCCTTGTAGGCTTGACACAAAATACTTGAATTTCTCCCCCAAACTTCTATTGGAATGCTGGGCAAGAAGTCCAAGTTAGCATTTTTAAAAACTTTAAATAATTTTTTATTTTTTAAGATAGTTGCCATATAATATTTATCAGTTTCAGCTATAAATCAGTGATTAAACATTTATATTGCTTACTAAGTAATCTCCCCGATAAATCTAGTAGCCATCTGACAACATATGTAGTCACAACAATATTATTGATTGTATTTCTTAAGCTATATTTTGCTTAGACCCTACTAATCAATGTTGATGGCTAATATAGGACAACCATCATATTTTCGCTGACTTGGGTGGAAGTTATGAGAGAGGCTAAGGAGGGGTGAGTGTAGAAGTGGTGAAGAGCACAGCAGGACAATCTCAGAATACCTCCCCCTAAAATACTAAAGAATGACAAACACCAAATTGTGACTGTATGATGGGGAGACCTGGCTGTCATCAACTGAGGTGAGTGACCAAGGTGAATGTCACCACTGTCAGGACAGGGAAGTAGAGTCCAGACCTTGTTCTTCCTCTTCCACAGTCCTGGCTCCCTTGGTGGCCTCATCCATGCTCACAGATTTAAATGTCATTTTCATAGCATCACTCCCAAGTCTGTCTCCAGCCCAGACATTTCTCCTCAAGGTCCCCACACTCATCTGTCCAACCTGACACCTCACTGGTGTTTCTAACAGAAATCTCACCTTGACCTTCTCTTCAGCTGAAAGCTTGAAATGCCCACCCCTCCCCCACACATGCTCTACAGAGTCTTCCCCATCTCTGCTGATATAACCCCACCTTTCTGCTGGCACAGTACAAATGTGGGGTGCCCTCCTTGACTCCTTCCCCACACCCCAGACTGAATTACTAGGAAATGCTGTGAAATCCATCTTCCAAATGCATTCAGGGTCCAGTCCCTTCCCACTGTTTCCACCACTCACAGCCCCATCAGAACACCCAGCTCCTGCAGCCTGGAACCATGGGAGCTTCCCCACACCTTTCCCTCCTGCCTCGCTGGTCCCTTGTCTCCTGATTCTGTCCTCAGCCCAGCAGCCAGACTGACCCTGTGGCCCAAGGGCTCTCTCTTGGGGAAGAACTCTCAGAGGAAGCCACTAAGGAATTCAGCTCCTTGGCCATGACCTTCCAGGACTCAGCATCTGCAGAACGAGAACAGTGTCTGCAGTGGATTAAGGACAGTGGACACTGGAACAGTTCCTGCTGTAAGCAGGTGTTCTCACCTTCAGTTGGTCAGCTCTCTGACCCCATATGGACACCCCTGATGTATATAAGAGGGGGGCCTGGAAGCATGGGGAGACTCCTAGTCTACAAAGTGGCACTTGGTTAGAATCAGGGGACTCAACCAGCTACAGCCAGAGGCACAAAAGGTCACATTTAGATGTGCGGGAAGAAACCCTGAATTGCCCATGGAGCACAAGTGGTCACAGGGAACATCACTGGGGAGCCGTGAGGTCCCCTTGTCCTGTGGCACACAGTCTGTCCCTCCTGTGTTGTCTCCACACCTCATGGTAAGTGTACGAACAGAAAGTGACTTAGAACAGCTTAAGAAACAGGGTGAAGGTGTAGACAGAATAATACCTACCAGAAAAAATACACCTTGGAGATTTTAATCTAAATCACTTCTGATTTACTTATATATACATATATCAGTAATATTAAAATAATGCAGGGACACTGAGATGATTAAATAACATTCCGATGCTGGGTGTAGACAGCAGTCAGGGAACCTTAAAGTCTCAAGGGGAGGCTGTAGTGACTGTTTTAGCACCAAGCCCTCTAGAAAGCAGCCCTGTCATGCTGGGAAAGAAAGTTGTCATGAACAAATTCAGGTCAGTGTCAGAAGTGTCACATTCTCCCACATCCACCACATGCTCAGAATGTCCCACTCTGAGAATCCCCAAAACCCAATTTTGCCCCTCGGTCTCAATGCCCCCCACCTCCTGCCCTCAGGGTCTCACCATCAGGAGCTGTGAGAGACACATCAGACCTCTGGGCACTGTTGCTGCCTGGGGAAGACACAACAGCAGAGTTATGGGTTGGGGAGCCCCCCTCACAGACTCCAGCCCACACTCTCCCAAGGGTCCCAGATGTCACCTCCCCAACACCCAGGCTTACAGGCAGCCTGGGCGTAGTTCTTCCTGCCTCTGCCTGTGGGAAGAAAACATTCTGTGAGAAGTCAGGGGGAGGCTGGGTCCCATGACCCTAAAGGAGCCCCATACTCATGAAGCCCAGGGCAGGTTCCAGAACTGTGACTGAACACCCAGGGCAGGATCAGGAATACATGGAAAGTATGTGTGCTGGAACTGCAGACCAACCACCGTCTGCATTACCGTCCTCAGCAGGGACCATCCCCTCTGACCTGGGACAACTGGGAATCAGTCCCCATCACTAGAATCATCAGCCGATAAATTTAACCTCATGTTCCCATGGGCCTCCCTAAAGAGTCAGTGTTAGTAAACAGGCCCCACATGGACAAACACTCATGTTGGGACATGAAGCCCATTAAGGAGGCAGAGCACACTTCCACCTGGGCTTGACCCCCAGGGACACAGGAAACTCAGCCCCACGCCTTGCCCACCTGTGCTCTTCCTCCTCCACAGCACATCTCCAGTGACCACAGCTCCAAGGAGACCCAGGGCAGCAGCGATGCCCATGATGGTGATGGTGGTCTGAGGAGAGGGGTCTGTGAGGGGAAGGTGAGAGGTCAACCTCAGGCCTGAGTCCTGACCCTGCTCAGGGACACCCTGAGGAGAGGCTCTGTGCCCACACCCCCTCCTCACCCCATCTCAGGGTCAGGGGCTCAGGCACCCCCTGGTGCTGCACAAGGCATGTGTATCTCTGCTCCTCTCCAGGGGGCATGGCCACAGCTGCCCACTTCTGGAAGGTTCCGTCCCCTGCAGGCCTGGTCTCCACCAGCTCCATGTCCTGGGTTAGGTCCTCCCCATCACACTGCCAGGTCAGGGTGATGTCCACAGGGTAGAAACCCAGGGCCCAGCATCTCAGGGTGACCTCATGGTCAGAGATGGGGTGGTGGGTCACGTGTGTCTTTGGAGGGTCTGAGGGAAAGGTGAGAAAAATCAGGAACTCTGCATGGTCATGGGACACTTCAGCAGTGCTCATGTGACCACCCTGAGAGTGGACAGGACAGTGGGGGTGGGGGAAGGGAGAGCAACACCCAGACACTAGCCTGGACAGATATTCTCTTGTGTCCTGAAAAGTTCCAGAATTGGGCAAGAACCCAGGGTAGGAGTGCCCAGGTCTTTAAGTGGTGACACAGCCTTAGGTGGAGGCAGAGTGAGTCACCAGTGCTGGAGTCAGGCCTCCAGAGAAGGTCTCAGCCCCAGAACCAGGGAGAGGGTCCTGGTGCACCAGGTGCTGCAGGGTGTGAGGGAACTGCTGTGGGGTGTTTCAGGGACAGGCTGGGTCCCTTACTGTCCTTTAGGGAAAGCTGGGCCCGCGGATAAGTCAGAGAATAAGGAAACCTGGTTGACTCTTTCACCTCAGAGCAGGAGGGGGTTTCTGACAGTGCCCCATTTTCCTCCTCTCCTTGTAGGAAGCTGCCCCAGCCCACAGATCCTCTCCTCGGGGAGGCCCGCGCCCTGGTACCTGCTCGGAGCAGCGTCTCCTTTCCATTTTCTAGGAACAGGCGGAGTCAGCGCACGCACAGGTCCCCTAGGACTCTCCCGCTGCCGTCGCTCTGCTGCAGGGAGCTCCACCAACTTGCGCCAGGTGATCCGGGCCGCCATGTCGGTTGCGGTCCAGGAGCGCAGGTCCTCGTTCAGGGCGATGAAGTCTGTACTGTCGTAGGCGAACTGAGTGTACCCGCGGAAGAAGCGCCCGTCTGATCTCACCACACAGCCCCTCATTTCCTGGAAGGTGTGAGCCCCTGACCCCGCCCGGGCGTCAGGTCCCTCCACTTATTCCCACCAGGAGCAGGAGTCTCCCGGGACCGCACAGGTGAGGACCCGGCTCGCGGTGTTGAACCCCAACTGAGAATTCAAACGGGTTCAAGTCCCTTTGAATTCCTTCTGGGTTGGATGTCGCGCGCACCCCGCAGCCACCGTGTGACGCTCGGACACGGATAATCGGGGCGATCCAGGCCTTTCGGTGGGGATGAGGGTCGGTATCCAGGCGCACGTGGCTCACCGTCCTCGCTCTGGTTGTAGTAGGCGCGCAGGTTGTTCACGTTCCCTCCATACATCTTCTCGTAGTTTTGGGGTCCCGTGTGTAGTCGTCCCAAAATTGTGGGTGCTCCTGCTTCACCCATGGCTGCTCCATCCACGGCACCCGCGGCTCCATTCTCTGCCTCGCGGCGTCGCTGTCGAACCGCACGATCTCCGTGTCGTCCACGTAGCCCACGACCCTGTACCGGGACTTCCCGCGGCCGATTCCGGCCGTGGCGGTGCTGAACACCATCAGCGTGTGGGGCCCTGGGGTCGGGAGGACACTGGTTCTGAGTCCTTGGCTGTGGGACGGTTAAGGGCAGGAGTCCGGGGAAAAGAAAGAGGGTGAATGGTGACAGGAGGGGGAAAGAGAAGGAGGGCCAAGGCGGGAGTTGGGGGGTCTGCGGTCTATGAGTTACAGGTGCTCGAGGTGTGCTTTCCCCGGGTCCTGAGTCCGCGCCTGGTCCCGTAGCTCCTGCTCCACACAGGCCGTCCCTCCCCACCCCGCACTCACCGGCCCAGGTCTCGGTCAGGGCCAGGACCCCCGAGAGCAGCAGGAGCAGGAGTGGGGGGCCCCATGACCCGCCCTGGGCGTCTGGGGAGAACTGAGTTCTGGTGGTTGGTGTTGACTTTATACCCAGAAGCACCGTGACGCTGATTGGCTGCTCTAATGTTCGGACATCCAATCATAGCGAGAACTGCGGAAACGTCAGGTGTTTCCGGGATGTAGGACCTGACCCAGGTTGTAAGAGGGAGAAGTGAAACCCAGACGAGAAGGGGAGTCCTCAATCCTGTGAGTACCCCCCTCACCCCATCTCGGTCCTCCAGGTCTCATGCTGAGACCCTGCAGCCAGGTCTGGGGACCCGGGACTGCGCTGAGCCCCCTCCTACACGGAGAAGTCTCTGTCCCTCAGTCTCCCCGAGTCCCGGTCTTCGGGCTGTTTTATTCATGGCGTCTCACACATTTTGGTTTCTGAAGATCTATACTGCCTTACAAAATAGGGAGGACGGCCAAAATAATTGTGTTTGTGTGCGTTATAGCTATCGGTATTACCATAAGGAAAAATAGTTTGAAAAAATTATTTAGAATAACTTTGACAACCTATGACATGTTAACAGGGATAATATTTTTATAAAAAATAACTATTCCCCAAATAAAAAGTAGTGAGAAGAGTGGGTCTTCTTACATGTTACATTTTTTTGCAAGTCTCAGAGCTTGTTTCTATCACTAGAAGACTGCTGGATTTTCATATTTACTGCCGTGTTTCACTTACTGTTTTGTTTTTTGTATATGAAAAATACACAGCTTCATACAAATATGTAGGAGGGGCATTTAAATAACCTTTTTAGATAAGTGTGGATATTCACCCTGGGTCATACACTAAAGCTACATAAGTGGTAGTTCTTGGAAAGCTCTTTGCAAAGTGGAACCTGAAACAAATCCATTGAGTATTTCCTATTCTGATACATTACTTGACTGGTTCTTGTACTGATACAGGATTATTTAAAGTAATGCATCATTTCACTAAGTGATGGAGATCTTCCAGTGTTGGTGCATTTAATTGCACATCATCAAAAATCACAATTGTTAACATTACCACAGATCCCACTGGAAACAGTTGTCAGCTCTGGGAAGCTGTCTGGCTTACATGGTGACACATAGGTTTTCCAAAATCTGTTTTTTTCTGCTCAGAGCTTGCATTTAATCCAAACAAGTTCTGTCAGTTGTCAACTACCTGTTGACATTTCTTGAGGGATAAGCACACTTTCATTTTTGAAGAAGTGTTCAGCAGTTCACCAAGCCTCAGTCATCACAGCTTCTATGTCTCTCATTTCTTAAGTCAACTTCCTGTTCTGTGCAGAAGAGGCTGACTCAGCCCTCACAGGTCACTTTCCTGGGCTCAAGGTACTTGGGAATGAATGGAGCAGAAGTGTGTTTGTGTACTTTCCCGGTCATCATAGGAGATATTTTATTTTTTTATTCTTCATTTTCATTAAGGACAGTTAAAAAGTTAATCCATTTCTAAATGAATTCCAGATATATTTATCTTCTTTTTAAATATCTTTATTTCTTTTTTAAAATATATTTTATTGATTATGCTATTGTAACAGGGTGCAGCCAAGAGGGGAGCCCCAAATAGGGATTTGTAATAGGGTCCAGGGGGGCTTAGAGATAATTGGCTCCACACCACAGGGCCACACCTGCCCAGAATGCGGGCAGCTGTGGCCGATTGTGAGAAGAGCTGGAAACGGGGCTGCAGAGGAAGATTAGTGCTGGGATTTAAATGGAGGCACAGGAGCCATTGGGCTTCTTTCTTTTTGGGACCATGCGTCTGTTTAGGACCTCACAGCTTTGGTGTGTTGGTTGGGACCATGAAGCTTGGGTGAGAGTCAGGACCATGAGGCTTTGGAAGTGCTCCCTTTTGCCATGTGGAAGGTGCTGGGAGGACTGTGTGCATTTGTGGGGAACTTTAGCTCGTGTTATTTCAAATGAATACTAAATTCCTTTCCTTTTCACTGATCTCTGGCATTGAGAGAAGTCTTTCCTCTGGCGGTGGACATAACGAACCTGGGGGGGTTCCTTTCAGGTAATAGTATATTGCCTTGGCTGCCCTTGGCCCCACCCCTTTTGTACTGTAACACTCCTAGGTTTCTTTCCTTATCTTTCATCTTGGGTAATGTAGTTATGATGTGCCTTGGTGTGTTCCTCCTTGGGTCTAACTTCTTTGGGATTCTCTGAGCTTCCTGGTGTTCCTGCAAGTCTATTTCCTTTGCCTGCTTGGGGAAGTTCTCCTTGATTATTTGTTCAGCTAACTTCTCCCCTTATTGCTGTTCCTCTTCTCCTTGTGGGACACCTGTAATTCTTATGTTGGAACATTTAAAAGTGTTCTGGATGTTCTTAAGCCTCTCTTCATTTTTTTGAATTCATTTTTAAAAGATTTTATTTATTTATTTTTAGAGAGGGAAGGGAGGGAGATAGAGAGAGAGAGAGAGAAACATCAATGTGAGGTTGCTGGGGGTCATGGCCTGCAACCCAGGCATGTACCATGACTGGGAATTGAACCTGCGACACTTTGGTTGGTTCGCAGCCTACACTCAATCCACTGAGCTATGCCAGCCAGGGCCTGAATTCATTTTTTGAATTTATTTTTTCAATTCATTTTTCTTCATTCTTTTCTGAGTGGATGTTTCTTCCTTCTGGTCCACACCATTGATTTGAGCCCCAGTGTCCTCCCATCACTATTGGTTCCCTGTACATTTTCCTTTATTTCACTTAGTGTATCCTTCATTTTTTCATGTAATTTTCAACCAAATCCAACCAATTCTGTGTGCATCCTGATAACCAGTGCTTTGAACTCTGCATCTGATAGGTTGCCTATCTCTTTGTCAGTTAGTTGTATTTTTTATTTTTTGAGTTTTGATCTGTTCTTTCGTTTGGGCAATTTTTTTTGTCCTG